TAGTTCCATGACAACCTAGCAAAGAGAAAACAGGACAGACATCTCAGCTTGATTTCACCAAAACAGGTATAAAGCATAGCTGAACGACTGTGCTCTCTACCTGAATTCTGCCCAAAACTCTTCTGATAAACTGATACCTTTGGGGTAAAACTGATCCCCCCAAAATACCGATGGCCCTCAGGCCTTGATACCCCAGACATGCAAACTGATACATGGCATTCCTGTAGAGGCACACTTTAAAAAGCACATGGCAAACAAGTGAAGAGCCAAAACCACCCCTATGTTGGGATAGTGGTTTCACCTAGCCTATTTTGGTAGAGGAAACTAGGAGTTTCACTACGCACGTAGCGGTTTCAGACAAAACTACAATCGGGTAAGCAACCTGTTCTAGTTTGGAATGGTCATTATGGATTCGATATGCACTAGGCTTGGAATTGCGTCAAAAAAGGCGGGCCCCGGTCAAATCGGGTTTGTGTTTCCCATCGCGCAGAGCCCGTAACCTGTTAGGCCTTATGGCATGCTTCTCAAAGTGGGCCTCCGGCAAACCGTTTTCAGGAATAGCAGATGGCAACACGGTATCTCAGGCACACCAATGCAAATGCATGCAAAGAAAACACATAAGCTGTAGTACAAAAAAGAATATCATTGAGTTCGAGTCAAGTTCTCTAATCCCAGCGGAGTTCGCCAGAAACTGTAGACGCACCTGAACGTCACGGGAAATCCCGTTTGTTCATTGGGCTCACTACCGGTCAGACTCAATGTCACGGTTCTTACATCTGATCTCGCAAAGTGCAAATACAAGATTGACAAAATTTGCAAAGAGTCCAAATTTGGCAAATCGTTTTGAAAAATGAATTTTATAGAAAGAGTGCCAACAGGACTGCTTTATCCAGATATTGAGGTCGCCACCTAAATATTTTTATTTGGGAATTTAGGAAACCCTGACTCGTGCCTAAGGGCCACATGTCCGTCATCACCAAAGTTGCCTCGGCTCGGGAACTTGGGTACGAGGGGAAGGTAATGCAATGGAGCACGCCGCCGCCTCGCCCGATCAAAGATCGCCACTAACTAAACATGATATCTTGTTTTTTGAAAACATATGATGCTCTTATTCCGGATTATTAGCCTAGAATTGCTACCGTGATGCGCACAGTATACAATGTATTAGACTGGAAATGGTCTAATTGGAAACAAAACATCTCATATTTTGTTTTTGAAAGTGGTTTGCTACTCGCAAGTAGGCCTAAAATGCGGATTTTGCCCACCCCTTGAGTGGGCTTAGAAAACATGGTGATTTGCCACTTCTTAAGTGGGCTTAAAAACTCACAATTTTGATGAATTGTTCCAATTTAAATCAATCCAACCTTTCACCCACAAGCATTCAGGCAAGTATATCACATAGCAGTTAACCTCATGGCAAGCATGCTATCATAGGCAGTCACTCAATAACACATGCAAGGATGCTAAGCATAAACACTCACCGAGTACTCCAAGCCAAAATAGGAACTAGTTAGTAAATTAATGCAGATCCTCAGTTCATGTTAAGATGGCTATGGCAACACATGCAAAATGAGACTAAGAATAGGCTCGGGCCATTACTTACGATGTCATGTGACGATGCTACAGATAACATGTATTCAACTCGGGATTTAAAAATTCACATGCAGTAGTATGATGCACCGAGCCCGATGCATGCAAGACAGATGATGATTGGACGCAATACATGCGAGGCATAAGGAATGCCTAATTGAAACATTGCCCTAAAACTAACCATCATAAGCTGGTAAATAAAAGGCGAGAAAGACGTGGGGTTGGAAGACATGCATCACACACACGCACACTTATTACAACAGTTGGCCCTCCCGACGGAGGATCCGAATAAATAATATAACACCAGCTAGCTAATCTAAGCCAATCTAATTAATCTAGTTATGACTAGCTAATCTAAGCTAATAAATTACAGCTAATTATTACACAACTCTAATTAATTAACAAACTAACTAAGTAAGCAATTAAACTAGCATGCAAACTACATGAATGTGGACTGCCTCAGCTCTGCCTTGAATGATAAAGGACGCATGCATGCTCGAGTCGCCTTGTCGGGAAATCCCTCGTGACGCCCTGACTTGCCTTTGTTTGCAATTGATCTCAGAAACTTGCACAAAGCTCCAGAAGGCTGAAACTCCACCCTGGGGATCTGTGGGAAGGCTACCGACCAACTATTGGCCTTAGAGGCCACCTGTCGATCACCTTTGTGAGAGAAACCAAATGGGGTGGTCGGCTTGCCTGAAAAGTTAGTCGGCCGACCAGTTTCAGCCTCTGGTTTCTGGTTTTTTGTAACAAGGAGCAAGAGAGAGGCATGGTAAGGTATTTTCAACATATGTGTGCACAACCACTCTCCTCATCATTGTACAAGCTCAAGGAAGTGTAGGTCTCGATCCTCTGACCACCAATCAAGCATCTCGATGCATGATGGCCGAGGAACCGAATTGCACAACTTAATATAGAATGAATGCACATAAGAACACATAAATGCCTAAACTCCATCATGTGTAGTCAAGAGTGTCGGCGGCCGGGAATCGAGGCACGTTTCATCACTTCGAGTATGAAACGCCCCTCGTTTCCCGTGTTTGGGCTAACTCCTATCCCAAACACAATGCAACAAACATGGCATGCACCGATGCAACTCTAGCAGGCAATCCTAATGCAATATCACTTAGCCATGCGAACATGCAAAGGATGAGCACGCGAACATACACCTAGCGTACACAATGCTAAAACTACATGGCATGCACAATGCTCATGACACTATCATACGCAATGCACATGGAAACTAACATACACAATGAGATGAACAAGGCACGCACACTGCAGTGATCAATCATGCGACAACATGGCACTCATTGCTATGAACTACAATGGCATGCTCGATGCAAAATGGACTTAAACCAAAATGGATGGGCCTCGGTCACACCTAAATCAGTGGCCAAACATGATGAAAACAAGACTCCAAAACTCATGCTAGCATACACAATGCAAGGGCCCCGAGCCTAAGGCACGAAAACACAACTTTGCACATGCATTGAAAGGACTAAACATGGTGTACAATGGCATATATTCCAACGCTGAAATGGCATATAACATGACTCCAAAATGACTCCGAATCATGCAAACAACTCACACAACGCATGTTGAATGGCTCAAGCATTGAAACTAGTGAAATGCATTACACTATAGGCATGCAAAGCGATGCTCAAATGATGAAACCAACCCCATATAGACCCTATGCAGGCCCAAAACAGTAGCAAATTGGGTTGGGATGATGGTTTGAAAGGCACAAAAGTGAAGCTCATGCAGTGGCTCGCAAATAGGGCATAAATGCACAACTCTAAAGAGCACTTAAAGCATGGAAAATATGAAAGTGTAGCACCCCTACAAGCTCTAAAATATCATGCCCAATGATGCCAAAACATGTAAATAGCTCAAGTTAAGCATGCAAGGGACCTCCAAACTCAAAGCTAGTCAATGCTATTACACAACAAGTAGCCATGACTAGAATTTTTCGACCAAGAGGCCTCAAGATAGAGCTAAGGCAGCCCAAAATATGAACAAAATTAGTTTGAAGTGCGGCCAAAATATGCTAGAATAGAGGGCCAAAACAACATGCATTGTGAGCTAGTGAACATGAGTTACACTACAAGCATATGAAGCATGTGAAGGACTACCAAACCAAGAAAAAATAGAGTCATGGCATGCCAAATGATGGCCAAAAACCCACTAAAACAAGACCAATACATGCAAGAATGACATGCTCCTTTGATAAGCCATGAAAGGGATTACTCTACACATGCAAGAAGCAAGCAAAAGGGGACCAAACCAGCCATGGTCAGTGCCTAGGTAGGCCCTAGAAGTCACCAAAGAGTGCCTGAACTAGGCCTCCAAATGGTATAAACATATGCTCCGTTGGTAGGCTAAAAATGCTAGTAAACAAGACAACAAGAGAGAGGGTCACCCCTCTCTGATCTAGGCCCTCAAAGCCATATTCTCACCACTAAAAATCCACTGGATTTCAGTGGTAGGAAGGCCAAGCAAAGACTAGCTGAAATGCCTTATGGCATGGCACAAAACAAGGCTAAATAGAGCATGCAAGAGAGTAGATGACCCTCAACACCAAAAGAGCCTTAAACAAGCAAGAAAAACACTTAAGTATGAAGCTTTTTTTTAGTTGACAACAAATCCCAAATAAGCATGAAAATGAGGCTAAGAGAAGGATCAAAACAATGCTTAAAAGAGGGAAAATGAGTTACCGTTGAAGCTCAACAAAACTAGCAACTTTTCTGAACCAAAACCCAACTTTGAGACCTCTCAAAACCCTCCAGCAACTCAGTAACAATG